TATAGGCAGGCCTTGGTCATATGTTCTGTATATGTCCTGTGATATAGGCAGTCCTTGGTCATATGCTCTGTATAAGTCCTGTGATATCGGCTTTAATTGGTCCTATGGTATATTAATCTGGTATATGTTCTGTATATCTCCTGTGATATAGGTCGTCCTTGGTTATATGTTCTGTATATGTCCTGTAATATAGGCAGGCCTTGGTCATATGTTCTGTATATCGCCGGTGATATAGGCCGTCCTTGGTCATATGTTCTGTATATCTCCTGTGATATAGGTCGTCCTTGGTCATATGTTCTGTATATGTCCTGTGATATAGGCAGTCCTTGGTCATATGCTCTGTATAAGTCCTGTGATATAGGCAGTCCTTGGTCATATATTCTGTATAAGTCCTGTGATATAGGCAGTCCTTGGTCATATGCTCTGTATAAGTCCTGTGATATCGGCAGGCCTTGGTCATATGTGATCTGTATATGTCCTGTCTGTATATATCCTGTGATATAGGCAATGTCCTTGGTCATATGTTCTGTATATGTCCTGTATATAGGCAGGCCTTGGTCATATGTATATCTCCTGTGATATAGGCCGTATTGGTCATATGTTCTGTATATATCCAGTGATATAGACAGGCCTTGGTCATATGTTCTGTATATGTCCTGTTCTGTATATAGGCCGGCCTTGGTCATATGTTCTGTATATCTAATGTCGATATAGGCAGGCCTTGGTCATATGTTCTGTATATCTCCTGTGATATAGGCCGTCCTTGGTCATATGTTCTGTATATGTCCTGTGATATAGGCTTTAATTGGTTATATATTCTGTATATATCCTGTGATATAGGCTTTAATTGGTCATATGTTCTGTATATCTAATTCGATATAGGCAGGCCTTGGTCATATGTTCTGTATATATCCTGTGATATAGGCAGTATATTGGTCATAGGTTCTGTATATCTCATGTGATATAGGCCGTCCTTGGTCATATGTTCTGTATATGTCCTGCAATATAGGCAGGCCTTCGCCATATGCTCTGTATAAGTCCTGTGATATAGGCTTTAATTGGTTATATGCTCTGTATAAGTCCTGTGATATAGGCTTTAATTGGTCAGATGTTCTGTATATATCCTGTGATACAGGCAGGCCTTGGTCAGATGTTCTGTATATCTCATGTGATATAGGAAGGCCTTGGTCATATGTTCTGTATATATCCTGTGATACAGGCAGGCCTTGGTCATATGTTCTGTATATATCCTGTGATATACGCCGTCCTTGCTTATATGTTCTGTATATGTCCTGTAATATAGGCAGGCCTTGGTCGTGTGTTCTGTATATCTCCTGTGAGATAGGCCGTCCTTGATTATATGTTCTGTATATGTCCTGTAATATAGGCAGGTCTTTGTCATATGTTCTGTATATATCCTGTGATATAGGCCGTCCTTGGTCATATGTTCTGTATATGTCCTGTGATATAGGCTTTAATTGGTCATATATTCTGTATATATCCTGTGATATAGGCTTTAATTGGTCATATGTTCTGTATACGTCCTGTGATATAGGCCGTCCTTGGTGATATGTTCTGTATATATCCTGTGATAAAGGCACGCCTTGGTCAAATGTTCTGTATATCTCATGTGATATAGGTCGTCCTTGGTTATATGCTCTGTATAAGTCCTGTGATATCGACTTTAATTGGTCCTATGTTCTGTATATGTCTTGTGATATAGGCCGTCCTTGGTGATATGTTCTTTATATATCCTGTGATAAACGCACGCCTAGGTCAGATGTTCTGTATATCTCATGTGATATAGGAAGGCCTTGGTCATATATTCTGTATAAGTCCTGTAATATAGGTAGGCCTTGGTCATATGTTCTGTATATCTCCTGTGATATAGGCCGTCCTTGGTCATATGTTCCGTATATGTCCTGTAATATAGGCAGGCCTTGGCCATATGCTCTGTATAAGTCCAGAGATATAGGCTTTAATTGGTCATATGCTCTGTATAAGTCCTGTGATATTGGCTTTAATTGGTCATCTGTTCTGTATATATCCTGTGATACAAGCAGGCCTTGGTCAGATGTTCTGTATATCTTCTGTGATATAGACCGTCCTTGGTTATATGTTCTGTATTTGTCCTGTAATATAGGCAGGCCTTGGTCATATGTTCTGTATATCGCCGTCGATATAGGCCGTCCTTGGTCATATGTTATGTATATGTCCTGTGATATAGGCCGTCCTTGGTCATATGCTCTGTATAAGTCCTGTGATATAGGCTTTAATTGGTCATATGTTCTGTATATATCCTGTGATATAGGCCGTCCTTGGTCATATGTTCTGTATATGTCCGGTGATATAGGCCGTCCTTGGTGATATGTTCTCTATATGACCTGTGATATAGGCAGTCCTTGGTCATATGTTCTGTATAAGTATGTGATATAGGCAGACCTTGGTGATATGTTCTGTATATATCCTGTGATAAAGGCACGCCTTGGTCAGATGTTCTGTATATCTCATGTGATATAGGAAGGCCTTGGTCATATATTCTGTATAAGTCCTGTGATATAGGCCGTCCTTCGTTATATGTTCTGTATAAGTCCTGTAATATAGGCAGGCCTTGGTCATATGTTCCGTATATGTCCTGTAATATAGGCAGGCCTTGGTCATATGCTCTGTATAAATCCTGAGATATAGGCTCTAATTGGTCATATGTTCTGTATATATCCTGTGATATAGGCCGTCCTTGCTTATATGTTCTTTACATCTCCTGTGATATAGGCCGTCCTTGGTTATATGTTCTGTATATGTCCTGTGATACAGGCAGGCCTTGGTCATATGTTCTGTATAAGTATGTGATATAGGCAGACCTTGGTGATATGTTCTGTATAAGTCCTGTGATGTAGGCAGACCTTGGTCATATGTTCTGTATATCTCCTGTGATATAGGCCGTCCTTGGTCATATGTTCTGTATATATCCTGTGATATATAGGCCGTCCTTGGTCATTTGCTCTGTATAAGTCCTGTGATAAAGGCTTTAATTGGTCATATGCTTTGTATATATCCAGTGATATAGGCCGTCCTTGGTCATATATTCTGTATAAGTCCTGTGATATAGGCAGGCCTTGGTTATATGTTCTGTATATCTAATGTGATATAGGCAGGCCTTGGTCATATGTTCTGTATATGTCCTGTGATATAGGCCGTCCTTGGTCATATGTTCTGTATATCTCCTGTGATAAAGGCCGTCCTTGGTTATATGTTCTGTATATGTCCTGTAATATAGGCAGGCCTTGATCATATGTTCTGTATATCTAATGTGATATTGGCAGGCCTTGGTCATATGTTCCGTATATGTCCTGTAATATAGGCAGGCCTTTTTTATATGTTCTGTATATGTCCTGTGATATAGGCAGGCCTGGTCATATGTTCTGTATATCTAATGTGATATAGGCAGGCCTTGGTCATATGTTCTGTATATCTAATGTGATATAGGCAGGCATTGGTCATATGTTCTGTATATCTAATGTGATATAGGCAGGCCTTGGTCATATGTTCTGTATATCTAATGTGATATAGGCAGTCCTTGGTCATATGTTCTGTATATCTAATTCGATATAGGCAGGCCTTGGTCATATGTTCTGTATATCTAATTCGATATAGGCAGGCCTTGGTCATATGTTCTGTATAAGTCCTGTGATATAGGCAGGCCTTGGTTATATGTTCTCTATATCTAATGTGATATAGGCAGGCCTTGGTCATATGTTCTGTATATCTAATGTGATATAGGCAGGCCTTGGTCATATGTTCTGTATATGTAATGTGATATAGGCAGGCCTTGGTCATATGTTCTGTATATCTCCTGTGATATAGGCAGGCCTTGGTCATATGTTCTGTATATATCCTGTGATATAGGCAGGCCTTGGTCATAAGTTCTGTATATCTAATGTGATATAGGCAGGCCTTGTTCATATGTTCATCAGATGAATTAAGACGTATGATATTAGGTAAATATGACGTCAAAACAGATGAATTCAGGCGAATGACATTAGGTAAATATGACGTCAAAACAGATGAATTAAGGCGTATGATATTAGGTAAATATGACGTCAAAACAGATGAATTCATGCGAATGACATTAGGTAAATATGACGTCAAAACAGATGAATTAAGGCGTATGATATTAGGTGAATATGACGTCAAAACAGATGAATTCAGGCGAATGACATTAGGTAAATATGACGTCAAAACAGATGAATTAAGGCGTATGATATTAGGTAAATATGACGTCACAACAGATGAAATAAGGCGTATGATATAAGGTAAATATGACATCAAAACAGATGAATTAAAGCGTATGATATAAGTTAACTATGACGTCATAACATGAATTCAGGCTTATGATATTAGGTAAATATGACGTCACAACAGATGAATTCTTAGCCTTGACGAGAAAATTCACACTTAAAACGACACGAGACTCATAAACACATGTGAAATCAAAACAAATTTAACATACTTTTTATTTCCTGAAACCGTTCAAGATGATTACTCTAAAGCATGTACAGTTCTCGTGCTAATAATGTAGCTGTGTAATTTTGCTTTGGTAACCACTCCAATAAAACACTTTTTTTGTTCTCATGGAAACAGAGAGTGCAAATCACAAATTTCTGTTTTTCCATCTCAGTTCTCTTAGACAGTTTTAGGTAATAACCTTTTACAAATATGAAGCTGATACTCTAGTAGAAGATCTTCATCGCAATACTTTCAATTGGATGGAACTATTAAATAGAAATGTGCGATATTGAAGTAAAAGCGACATTTTCTTTCCACAATTATGGTTTGAATGCCGCCCTAGGCGCGGGTCACTTATTTCCCTCACTATATAAAGGGACAGAGTTCTGACGTTATTCAGTAAAGGAAAGGAAGGACGCGATAACTTTCCCTGCACCACGAAGAGGACTAATACGAGACTAGAGAGCTTTGCCTGCACCACGAAGACGACTAATATGAGACGAGAGAACTTTGCCTGCACCACGAAGATGACTAAAATGAGACTAGAGAACTTTGCCTGCACCACGAAGATGACTAATATGAGACTAGAGAACTTTGCCTACACCACGAAGATGATTAATATGAGACGCGAGAACTTTTCTTGCACCAGGAAAATTACTAATTTGAGACGTGAAAACTTTGCCTGCACCACGAAGATGACTAATATGAGACGAGAGAACTTTTCCTGCGCCACGGAGATGACTAATATAAGACGAGAGAACTTTGTCTGCGGCACGAAGATGACTAATATGAGACGAGAGAACTTTTCCTGCGCCACGGAGATGACTAATATAAGACGAGAGAACTTTGTCTGCGGCACGAAGATGACTAATATGAGACGAGAGAACTTCACCTGCACCACAAAGATGACTAATATGAGACAAGAGAGCTTTGCCTGCACCACGAAGATGACTAATATGAGACTAGAGAACTTCACCTGCACCACAAAGATGACTAATATGAGACCAGAGAGCTTTGCCTGCACCACGAAGATGACTAATATGAGACTAGAGAGCTTTGCCTACACCACGAAGATGACTAATATGAGACGAGAGAACTTCACCTGCACCACAAAGATGACTAATATGAGACCAGAGAGCTTTGCCTGCACCACGAAGATGACTAATATGAGACTAGAGAACTTTGCCTGCACCACGAAGATGACTAGTATGAGACTAGAGACATTTGCCTACACCACGAAGATGATTAATATGAGACGAGAGAACTTTTCTTGCACCAGGAAAATTACTAATTTGAGACGTGAAAACTTTGCCTGCACCACGAAGATGACTAATATGAGACGAGAGAACTTTTCCTGCGCCACGGAGATGACTAATATAAGACGAGAGAACTTTGTCTGCGGCACGAAGATGACTAATATGAGACGAGAGAACTTCACCTGCACCACAAAGATGACTAATATGAGACAAGAGAGCTTTGCCTGCACCACGAAGATGACTAATATGAGACTAGAGAACTTCACCTGCACCACAAAGATGACTAATATGAGACCAGAGAGCTTTGCCTGCACCACGAAGATGACTAATATGAGACTAGAATGCTTTGCCTACACCACGAAGATGACTAATATGAGACTAGAGAACTTCACCTGCACCACAAAGATGACTAATATGAGACCAGAGAGCTTTGCCTGCACCACGAAGATGACTAATATGAGACTAGAGAACTTTGCCTGCACCACGAAGATGACTAATATGAGACTAGAGAACTTTGCCTACACCACGAAGATGATTAATATGGGACGCGAGAACTTTTCTTGCACCAGGAAAATTACTAATTTGAGACGTGAAAACTTTGCCTGCACCACGAAGATGACTAATATGAGACGAGAGAACTTTTCCTGCGCCACGGAGATGACTAATATAAGACGAGAGAACTTTGTCTGCGGCACGAAGATGACTAATATGAGACGAGAGAACTTCACCTGCACCACAAAGATGACTAATATGAGACAAGAGAGCTTTGCCTGCACCACGAAGATGACTAATATGAGACTAGAGAACTTCACCTGCACCACAAAGATGACTAATATGAGACCAGAGAGCTTTGCCTGCACCACGAAGATGACTAATATGAGACTAGAGAGCTTTGCCTACACCACGAAGATGACTAATATGAGACTAGAGAACTTTGCCTACACCACGAAGATGATTAATATGGGACGAGAGAACTTTTCTTGCACCAGGAAAATTACTAATTTGAGACGTGAAAACTTTGCCTGCACCACGAAGATGACTAATATGAGACCAGAGAATCAGTAATTTTATTATATTGGTTTTTCAAAGACACATGTGTATATCATTAAACCTTTCCTCGCTCAAATGACTGCTTCAGATATGTAGAAGCTTACAATTTCGTTCATTTCTACCCCTAGTGTTGATGATTCATGACGATTATGTTTAGAACATGCGATCTGTATATAACTACATGCGATGTTTGCACGACAAGTGTATTTTGTGACAATCTTCAAATGATCCGGGGTACACTTTTCCAAGCATATAAGAGTTCTCTGGTAGTGCGTATTATATATATTGAATAATAATAATATAAAAAAATATGTATTCCCTTTTCATTTCGGCCATATTTTGAAAAGTCCTATTCGATAATCATCAACCATTAAAGGCCGCAACTATATACGGAAGAAAAGAAATGACAAAATTCCAATGCATGCAAAGGTCGCTGCTTTTATTCAAATAAGGTGCAATCAAAATGTCTATTTCACATTTTAAAACTTAATACATGACTGAATATCAATAACGAACAAAATTTTAAATATATTTTTCAAAACTGTTTTGATAGATATCCACATTGTTTAATAAAAGCCGTCATTTCATGCGGAAGAATGATATTAAATTTTCACAATATATGTAAAGGCCGCTACGTTCATTCAAACATAGTGCAATTGATATCTTCATGTATATTTCAAATTTTAAAAATCCTTTCCTGTTGACACAATATCACGGTTATAAAAGATGCATATAAATGTTAAAAACTATCCGAGTATCACCACAATCAACAACATGTTTTTATTTATCCATTTTTCAATACAGGTTAATTTCACTATGACATGAAAACTTGCACTCACCTCACATGCACATGAAAGACCATAGCAGTTGAAAGGACGTTAGCCAATATAAACCCGAATAAATGTTGAAACCTAACAACCGAAGAAACTGGATGTAAAAGTCTATAGCACGTACATACGTGACTCTAAAAAAGTATCAAATACACAGACTGTAGACTAAGCTTTTCATGTGTGTTGGTTTCCGGAGCAATGCTTCATAACATGTTTGACTGTAAGAGGTTGATCACATAAAACCGTGTGTGGTTGTAGTACGACCAATGCGATTTGGTCTGCTGGTAGTTCAACTTCTCCACATCAGGTTAAATTCCATAGAGATTGTCAATGTTCTGAACCTTTCTTGGTGATTTAGAAGATATTACACGTTTTCATGATTAGATAAGCAATCTTTGAACTGACATTGCAAAACCGTTCAAAACATTCTAACACACCCCAGACTTCTTCGAGCAGTGCACTGACTACACTGCCCCCAAAAAAAGTACTGCATTTTTCCTATGGTGAAATAGATAAATGCACTTCACAAGCGGCATCTGCTTTATATACATTGCACTGAATATTATTCCATTCCATGTTTGTCTGTTGAACAAGAACACAATTCTCATAAGGAAAGTTAGGCTCACCAGGAATCCATTTCGGATTTAATACAGGAATACCAGGCGCCCAAACCCAATCCCAATCAACCATTCTGTCGTTTGCAGCAAGAATGAGTTGTTGTATACCTGTGAATACAAATGTATGAACACTTGACTCGACGTGTTGGTAGTTGGCCATGTATAATATAAAGACTATTTTTTCGATCGTTTTACAGAACCTCAATACACAATATTTGTAGATAACACAAAAAGTATTGTTGTTTTCCCTGATCATTTCATTTTCAATGATTCTCGTTTTCGCACTTAATTCCATCCTCCTTGAAAATATAGTAAAGTAAACAAAACAACATTCACAATACATTGGTTTTCTGTAGGCTATGAATACAATCATATGGTCATCACTCACAGTTACGCAAGTGTCAGTGTATGGTAACTTGGTGATAAAACGTGCGGTAAAATGCTTTCAGTGGAAATTAGCCTAATAGAATTGTAGAAATTAGCTTAAAGGGTTTTAATTTTTTTTAATCTTACCTCAGAACAGAATCTACATATACTATCGGACAGTTCACGTGATATGGGTATCAATATGGCCGCTGACGTTACTATAAAAATGGATCACTTGAAGATTTTGAACGTCCCCAAGAGTTTCATTTTATCGCAATAAAGTTTTACTTAGTAAGTTACAGTCATTCTATTAAAATTTAGCGTGTCAATCGAATTGATGAGAGGATAAACACTTCTGACAGAATGACATATGATTCAATATGTCACACCACGTGGAATAGTCAACTTAACAAAATATCAATATTACACATTATGAATGCTTTTACAACTAACTAGTTTATCAGAACAAGAATGAAATAGACTGTATCATACAGCTGCTTCGTCCTTCCGGGAGTACCAATGGTGCGACTTGTGAAATTAAAAAAACTAGTGGAAAAAAAAGGCGAATCTAAATATACTTAGATATATAATGTTAGTGGCTCCTCAAACGTATTTTCATTAATTTTGATGCTCCCAATATTGGTACTGGAAAGTAGAGTTAGCGAGAACATAACTTATTTGTTTTCTTAGAGAATTTAGTTTGAATTGATTTTTTATGTTCACACCAAACCATGGGAACTGAAAAATGAATGAGCAGTTTTTATTCCCTAATTTTTAGACGGATGACGGTACTGTTGAAAACACGTATGGAGTTTATAAAAGAGATGGTATATAAAAGCCATGACTATTTATATTTTCATGTCGTATAACCAGTATTCAGATTAGAAGTGCAAGTCTAGTTTTCGTACAATTAAACAAAATTATTGTTTTATGTCAATGTGTTTGTGTCAAGACAAAAGTGTTCAATGCACCATCTGAAAAGTTATCTTCTCTTGTTTGGTCCAAGACATTCTATTAGAGTGTTGTTAAATAAGTTTCATTAATCCTACCTCTTGTTGTCATTTCCGACTGGAGGAAGGTATTCACCTCGTCGTCATCGATCCCTAACATGGAAGAATTCATTGCTTCACAAAGCTCCTGTGTAATTTCAATAAGCTAAATACAATAAATTATATATCATCTTAAAACAACTTATTTATTACATTTAAGAGTATATATAAATTGCATTGGGTGGTAAAGATTGTTATGAAACATTAAAGTTAAAATCAATGATAATGGGGATTGATGTTTGTTAATCTTTTCTCTCATTAAAAATTAATCGGTAGAAAATGTTAGTATTAAATGGTTATATGACAATCACACTTCATACCTTTTTAATCAATAACGATTAAATATCATATGGTTTTAATATCATTCACATTTTATGTTGAAAGTCCTAGATATTGAGGATGACTGGATTGAATATTCAGTGCCTAATGTCGACATGACATTGTTCCGTTTCTCTTAAATATGTTATTGTGAAAACGTTTTCGTATTTGATCTTTAGTCCTATAAGGGAGATGTATTGTACTTTGTCTTAGCCTTGAAATGAAAAGACGCACTTGATACTTAATACTCAGCACTGAAATCACACATGTTTGTATATTGTCTTGATAATGAGATTTGGCCTGTTAGAAGGACTTAATATACAGAGTAAAATAACTTTACCATGTTCTGATCGGCAGTTGTTCGCTTCCCCAGAAAGAGGTAACATTTGTGATTAAAACGCACCCAGTCCGCAGTGGGGCATACTTCTGAAATAAATCAACAACAGTAATGAATGAGATACTACTACCTGGATAGCAGCTTGATCTTATTTACTTTATATCCATAAATTCTACAAATGAGTAAAATATTACAAGTATTCGTCTCAGAAATTCAAATTTAATTGCCTAGATAAAGAAATAATTTAGAGCTTCAACAGACTAATACAATAATGGCGTTTGGAGCATTTTAATTATCTCCCACTCATGATATGGGATACACATGTCGCATGTGAAACATGCATTTTTGTACACTCAATTACCTTTATGACGGCACAATAACACACTCGTCCAAGCACTACATGTCTGTTAATGACAATCTTGCAGGCGATGAATAAGTGAAATATTGCTATTGAAATTTTTGTCCACATTTGTTATAAAGTGTTCTTTAGGTTTGAGATATAAACATATCATAATGTTATTCCCCAATGTGGCTTATAGCTATATTTTATTTTATTCTAAAAGGAACATGAAAACATCAGCGGAAATTGACATCAGATACTTCTTAGAAGCAAATGACCAAAAACATGAACTGAGAAAATGACTGAGATATACCTTGTTCAAGACAAACATGGCTGCCATCTTCTGTGTCGACGCAAACTTCAATTTCAGAACTGTCGCTATTCATACTGTTAGAACTGCTTACCTGTAATATGATTATGGAGGCTAAATCAAAAGCAGTTCAATTGTTAAGAATACATTGGCATAGATAAATTATGGTGTTGTTCAATGAAAATAATGGGAAAGTCTTAGGGTCGTCGTAGTAATCTCATTGAGAAATATTACATTTCTTTTTGCATTACGAAGCAGGAAGTGTTTGATGCTCATTAGTTTGCCTGTTGATTCGGTATGCATGGCGGATGCCGTCGATGAAGCTTTCTCTTCAGAAACATCTGGTCTTATTATCCTTGTACTTTTTCAGATGTCTTCGTGTCAATCTTTCTTTTATTATTCATATTTTGCCCTTTCGGATGACATTTATCCTTTTCTTGTTTTTTTTTTTTTTTTTTATAAAATTGAATTTTAGAAAATAATAACTATTTTGAAACCGGCCAGGTATTGACAAAATATTAAGTCTACATAAATGTTTTATAGAAGTTTAAGATATAACTGTATTTCTTGGAGAAGCCAGAGATAAGTTTAATTCTGCTTTACATATAGATTCACTATGGCCTGAAATTGTGCACTGACATAATGATTTATGTTCATTTATTTCATTTTACCGATTTTATACAGTAACGCTAAATGATATTTATCATTAATACTATCACTGGATAGTATGGATAAAATATCAAATTAATTGTTTGTTTTGATAACTAATTAGTATGGAAGCATCACCATTTATATAGTATAAAATATAAACAAGTAAATGTATTCATAACCTCTTATCTATATTCTCCTATGTAAATAATTTGTTAAGAATGCATTACTGAGCATCATCACTCTTAAGTTACTTTATTGTTTTAAGTAATAACGCGGGTTGTTATTTTTGCGCTTTTAAAATCAAGCATCTGGACATAATAAAACGGTATTTCCCCAATTAACTTACCGTATTGTTAAAAATAATTACCTCCATATCCACAAGCACCTGTGACCTTTAGAAGGGCTCTGAGCACAGTTACTTTTTAATTACTTAGAATCGTCTAAATTGGGAAATAGTATATCTTTTTTATACAGGTTTTCATATAATAATTTTGCTAAACTGTCCCTTTCAAATAGAGACTCTACTGCATTATAATGCTAAGGATTACTATAAAAACAACAATTTATTTAATTTCGTTGATGTCATGGGTACTTTTAAACAACGAATTAATCTGTCGTTGAATTATTGAAGTCAGTTTAAGAAAATTATTTGATCTATATTTACATCACAAAATCAAGTTGCCACAAAAAGATAAAATTATGGGAAAAACCATTAATATAAAGTCCAACTACGAAAATTTAAGGTTTTATAATTATGCAATATTTTTTTAAACGGTGAGCGTTATTATATAACAATGATATTAGCATGAAATCAATTAACCATATCGCATTTTAATCTACCCCTGAAATGATTGTCATTTAGAGAATACAAAGGAGCTCACAACAACATTGATTTAGACATCCCTATGGATACCAAATCAATGTTCATGCGGAATTTCTTTTTGGATGGGAAATAATTGTAATGTTAATAAAAAGAAATAGTAAAGTGAATGTCGACAAAATATCTTCGGGATGTTATTAGAGTCATGAAATGAATTTGTAATCATTTCCATCACAATTATCGCAAGGAACAATACCCTAAAATATCGTATGAGTAAGGTAATTTATATCACTAGTTCAAATCCTTGTATTTCAGCAAAAGTGCAATGTATGTTTGGTGCAGTGCATTCATATACCAAGTACATTATCAGCCCACGGTTGTGGAGAAGGTTTCCTTGGAGTTTTGATCATTAACATTTTAGGTTAAAGTCATAAATTATATTACACCATGATAAGAACCCTATCCCTAAGCTCCCTGGAAGCCATGTCCTTTCTTCTTCTGATCCCGGAGGAACAAGGTTAATTATTTTTAACGCCGATGAGATAAAATAGACCAGTCAGTTCCAAAAAGGGTGTCCAGTGATAAAATTCTTCTGCACTGTTGGTAATGTTCCTTCAAATACGAGACAATATGTATCAAAATTAAAGAGTGTGTGTTCCCAAATCAGTAATTGCCTTACATCTGCCCATCACGATTAGATCATGTCTTTATCATTTTCTTCATTCGCATCCTAGATTTCAAAATTTAGGCCCTTAACATTACTTATGAATCCTAGAAGGACGAAAAAACTGCATAGTCCAGATTAATGGTTTGACTCTACTCTAATTAATTCTAAATTTGTATTGAAAGTTGTAATTAACATGTTAGTCATGTACTAGTTTACAATCTGCCTTTTTTCGACATCTGCATATATGCAAATGGCGATTAGATTGACGAGTAGGAAAAAAGAAAATTCAAAGCATGGACAATTATCAAAGCACAAAAGGCTATTTCATTGTAACACATTTACGTGGTTCTTAAGTTTATTTTTTTACTCCATATCTGATTTTATTCTTCTGTTTATCTAGAGCGATTGATTTCAAAATTATCTATTGCGATTTTTCAGTCTTGATCCGTCATGAAGTCGGATTTCACAACGGGCATAAAGACTGAGTTCCAGAATATTTTTTTATAAATATACCTGTACACATTGTATTGACATTAACATCAAGTTCAGTTTTTTACTTAACAAATCCTGACAAAACATTATTTACATTTATTTTTTTTTGACACGATCATCATTTACTGCAGTGTCCAAAATGTTTCCTACAAAAGCAACCGCAGTAAACTGCGAGTACAATTGCACAAAATGATCTGTCAACAACCTGGATTTATTTGGATAACCAACGGTTGTGGAGAAGGTTTCCTTGCCTAACAAATTGAATGGGTTTTTTTTTCTCTCTTTTTAATCTTTTAATTGCACACCCTATGTTGCCCCGGAGGTTTCTGTTAATTCTGTCAGAAATGTCCGGCACTTGCCCACCAACACTCGCACAGCTTCTGTCACTAAGATGTCAGGTAGAAGTACTCCTTTTTTTTCCGATTGCAGTTCGATATATTCTGTCGGGTTGTTTTATTATTTCATTTTGTTTTGTTTTGTTTTATATTCATGTAATAACATACATTCATTTTGTATTTGTTCACCTTCACACACTATTAATGCGTATAAACACATTAGAACAATCGATCCTCACTTTATCAATAATAAGTTGGTTGTTATAATTAGTAAATATTTTAGTGTCTGATGCTAATTTACTTAATTACCAATAGGTATAACTAGAGGTGGTTTGAGCGGTTGTGCCAATCTCCACCAACAAAAACTTCCTCCGGTTATATCTATTGACGATACAATCCAACTATAATCCATAATGTATATTCATACAATAACATCCATTCTGTATTTTTACACCTTCACACACTATTAATGCCTATAAAAACCATCTGATCACTATATACATTTTTAAATACCTTATTCTCTTAATTGATTAATGACATTTTGTGCTACATGTAGCGGAAATGTTTTCTTTTGCTTTGAGTTAATATATAAATATAGATTATCTTTTAATGAATTACAATTTTTTTTTACCTGTTTCTGCTATTGTTTAAACCCGATTTTGGTATTTCAATTCGTTCCTAGCTGACAACACATATTAATAATGTTTTGCACATGTCACATCCATAAAGAGATGGTAAATATGTTCGACGCAAACTTTATAAAAATGACATTTCCCATTAGAGTTCCCAAACTTGCTTATTTTATAGATTCTTTATATATTATATTATGAAAGCATTTTCTTTGAAATTCTTTCATTTTCTTGGTAATAATCGATAAACCAATATTATTCCAAATCTGGTTCCAAATTGAAAATGTTTTCAAAAATTCGAATTCCCATTTAATTTGACATTTTGGCTTGTTATTTAACTTCATCATCAAGGTTTTCAATTTAACTTTTTAAAACGGGATTTTTCGATGGCTCTTATCAATTAAATCACAGTCAACATCAATTTTAGGATATGCACATTGCTCCATTTGATTTGAGTTCCAGAATAATTGTATATAATTCTTTGAAAAACAAACTCATTGTATCACGTCTTTTTTTAATACCAGCTTCGTGTCGCAAGATTTTTTTTTTATAAAATTTGGAAAAAAATATTGAAAAGAAGACAATCTCACCTGTTGTGTTTGAACGTCCAAAAGGGAAGACATAATACCAGTTTCTGCGGTTGTCATCATGAGGTCACATGTCAAATGATCCCGATCATGATGAATTTTCTCACAAAGTTTGTATCGTTTACACACTTTTAGACACTGCAATACTCCAATGGTATCTAAGTGCATGAAGGCCTTGTAGTGGGAGCTCGATTCCTTGTGTAAACTGCTGGCACACAGACCGTGTCCGTCAACGTGTAAAAACGTTCCTAAGGCGAATATCGATATTAGTATAAGATGCTGAAGTGAAACATTGCTCATGTCGATGTCATTAAAATTCACAACTCCTTAAGCATTACAGAATTTAATATAGCAGAGAAGTAATTCTAAAGATATTTCAATGTTATCTCTGTACATGTATTTACAGCTTCATGTCTATCAATCGACGCAGATAACAAATATATTTGTTAGGTGTCCATTCAGCATGGTAATAAACACATCTACAATATGACAGGCTTTATTGTAAGCAGTCATTGGTTAAAATTTATATGAATGGGTTGGTGGAGAATTATACCGATCCAGTGAGTGAACACTCAGGGGCGACCAGGTTTTAAACATTATGGCCATTGCAAGGGAGATAAATCCACGAGATCTGCCACTGAAACAAAAACAAAATTGTAATAAAGGTGTTTTGTTCACCTCTTTATCCATACCATGCAATATTTTATACATTTTTTGTCAAGTTTAAGAATACCTATGCAGTACTTCTCAAGAAATAACAATAACAAGAGTATCCACGAAAAGACGATCTGACGATTGAGTGAAGACTAAGTAATGAATCACAGACACAAAATCAACTTACAAATCAATTTAAAAATCTGAATTTCTTGCAATGTGTTTCAAAATAATGCAAATATCAATTGGTGTCCAATAAGTATCACCAAACCAAATTTGTGACTAATTAATACGGCATCTTTTTTAAAAACATCATTCTAACTTTTCAGTTTCGAAAGGACAAACACAAATAAAACAGTGTCACTCTAATTCTGCATAACCCTAGTTGGAATAGTCTTCTTCACTTCATAATCAAACCCTTCATGTTGTACAAAATCGACTATTGTCTCATTAAGTCAATCTCGATACTCTTGGGGTTACGATAACATATCCTGGTAAACATTAAAGGCATAAGCGAAATAAGTGGATTGGTCTAGAGTGGGTTTCAGGAGAAACAGACTGATCAATCGTTGATATTCATTTGATGTACATCGATGGATCAAACTAGTCTTCTCATTTTATCCATATAGAGTCTTACATGGAACCTTCAGTTTTCCCGTATAATGTTCCATGGGTGCAGAGAGAAACAGAGTGATAGTCATCGTGACCTTTGCAGTATCTAATATGTCATTTAGGAAGCAGTATGCCAACGGTGACCACAGGGCATTTTTTTCATTGCTAGTGCTTGCACGTCAAAGCACAACAGAAATTGTAATTGTGGCCTAATATTTGATGAAGAACATTAATAGTGTGTGAAGGTGTAAAAATACAGAATGGATGTTGTTGTATGAATATACATTATGGATTATAGTTGGATTGTATCGTCAATAGATATAACCGGAGGAAGTTTTTGTTGGTGGAGATTGGCACAACCGCTCAAACCACCTCTAGTTATACCTAATTAGGTAAATTAACATCAGACACTAAAACATTTACATATTATTACAACCAATACAGAATGAATGTATGTTATTGCATGAATATAAAACAAAAACTAAAAACAAAAACAAAAACAAAACAACAAAAAAAGACCCAACAGAATATATCGAACTGCATTCGGAAAAAAACAGGAGTACTTTCACCTGACATCTTAGTGACAGAAGCTGTGCGAGTGTTGGTGGGCAAGTGCCGGACATTTCTGACAGAATTAACAGAAACCTCCGGGGCAACATAGGGTCAATAGAATGATGATTTATATGTGTGCAATTAAAAGATTAAAAAGAGAGAAAAAAAAAAATTTTTTTCCAAGTTGTTAGGCAAATTGAAATGTAAACAGTGATCGAAACTAAATAACGTACAACATAAGTTGAAATACTATTGTTTGGTCATGTGTTCACCAGATGGCGTGACTTTGTGTATAGTTTTGAACACTGCAATGTATGATTATCGTGTTGGGTATCCAAATAAATCCAGGTTGTTGACAGATCATTTTGTGCAATTGTACTCGCAGTTTACTGCAGTTGCTTTTGTAGGAAACATTTTGGACACTGCAGTAAATGTGATCGTGTCAAAAAAAATTTACTTGTAAATAATGTTTTGTCAGGATTTGTTAAGTAGAAAAACTGAACTTGATGTCAATGTCAATAAAATGTGTACAGGTGAAAAAAAAAGAATAATTGATGGCTTGGACAAGAAAATAAAGGACAATAACTTTGTTTAACCTAGGAATTGAAGGACATTAGTTTAGTCTACTCTGCTTTGACATAGCAAATAACATGTGTCTTATATTTGATTCTAGATCAAGAACTAGACAAGTCGATAGCTCAGATGACAAAAATGAAGAGTAAGTGTATTATATTTGTATAGCACTTCAATATCTCACGACATATACTGACAGCCAAAGGAAAAAGAAAAATTGTCTAGACCGCACCACAGTACATTTTAACCTATGCCTATGACACAAAAAACACTTCAAAGTCAGGCAGTGTAAATAGCCTCTACAAGTTGACACAAGATATTGATCAAATTATACATGTTTTGTTCAGTGAAAAGTGTGATATTGGCATCAAAATTTTACACTTTGACACTTGACAAACACAGAATAAAAAGTAAGTTTAAAAACAGGATATTTTACAAAAACTTTGTATTATACATTTATGTATTAATGTAATATTCATCCTTACCAGAAGCTGCCTGTTATAAACACGAAATTATCTTGTTTTCTTTCGCTATATCTTGGATAAAGTGAATACAAGATAGATTGATATTAATTCAGAATGTGTGTTCAATCTTTTCAGTAGACTATATAAGAGTCAGGGGTCCAGAAAAGCACTCGTCCGGTCGTCATGGACGAGTGAAAGTTGTCTCGGACAACCAGATTTATCTTTGTCAGTCGTCCGTCGGACGAGTACTCGAATGATATCAATGTTACAACTTAAATTTTAAAAAAAAATGTAAAGAAAATTTAAAACAAAGAAAGGTATTCATGGTAAAATATCCCAGTCTGCACTCTAACTTTTGATTACATCGGAACTCACATGACGTCAAATATAGCATTCGGTATACCTTAGTCATTTTCCCGCGGTCATACTGATGTCAGGTGCTCTCGTTCTCAACAGCTCCTAGACCGCGCACAATGTCTGACACAAAGCAGCCATCACTACATAGTTTTTGACACTAAAACTTCAAATGAAAATAAAAAAAGTCACATGTCTCATCCTCGCTGATTAAGTCGCCATTTCATAGCTGAATTTGGACAAGTAAATTTCCAATCGGGACGAGGAATTTTTTCATTCCACCAGTCCTGTACCTAATGGTTTAAAATATTTTTCCAGACTCCAGATTGTGCATAAGATCATTTATCAATATTGTTTGTCAAATTTGTAACAGCAGCAGTGGCAACGATTTAAAAAATTAAACTCCAGTAAATACATAGTTAATAACGTTCCTAATAATACTTATTCCTACATGTGTAGAATTATTACTGACCAATAAAACAAATACAAGTAGTACCAGGAATATAACTCCTCATAAAAGCATTGAAATTATAAATTTCCAACGTGATATATGAGGATTTTTTCAGTAATGGTTTCAATTCAAACACCAAAAGAAATACCGATATTTGTCAAAAATCACAAAAACTGACAAACTATAAATCAGAAGTGAAAATGTAATGTGTTTTACTTTTAAATGTAAATCTTGCTGAAATTGCTATTTTTTTAAAATTTGTTCTTATTATAGTTCTGGTAGTGTGACAAGTTGTCAATTTTTCTTACCCTACACTGGAAAATTTATGTTAGTGTACTGCAACAAGCAAACCAAGAATGTTAAACCACACAACTCAAAAAACGTTCTACTTGTAGGGTTGCATATAGCACAATCCATCCTCAGCAATATAAATGCTCTTCTGTTTTTAATATAGAATCTGCAACTGGAGCCTTTTCACGTTGGGCATTATATTTTACCACAACAGCATGATTGGCAGAAGTCTCAACTGACAGAGGACATTGAAATTTAAGTAATCCTTCTCATTTTCTAAAAAAAATTGTAAAGAACAATGAAAGCAACAATTGCCATCAAATCAATCTAAAACAGGGAAAGAGAAAACAGAGTTCACCTGAGCTGTGAGCTGTCAATCTCTCGGCAAGAAGTAAGACAGCCTGCATGCACAAGACATGCTAAACTGGTAGTTGTTAATTAGAGACAAGCCTGATTGATAGTGACAATTTAAGATAGGTTTCATATTAATGTATGATAGTAGATGATCATCTATGATTATTCAAATCAATTTAAAATTCGTTGCCAATAATTTATCATTGCGATTGTCTTTGTACAGCGTATAGTGTTGATTACATATCAGTGAAAACAAAAAAAAATTGCTGTTTGCACAATTTCTGTCGAGTGTTCCGACCCTGGTTTCGTGATAATCGACCAGCTCTACCAACTGAGTTAAAGTTGTATTCAACTCTTTATACAAGCCACACCAACCCGCTCCTATTGCGCCACTCCTGTGTTTTTTCTTCAGATTGCTTAAATCTCAACCTGAGACTCCAAATACCGCAACTCGTGAAATTTCATTGGGCGCCAATGTGAAAGAACAGGAAAAATACACATTTCCGTCGAGTGCCCGGACCAGGAATCGAACCCAGTTCTCTGGCATAATAATCGAACGGCTCTACCAACTGAGCCAGAGAAGCATGCTCTTTCAGCTGAGTGACAGAGACCATATTTAACACTATACAAGTCACACCAACCCACTCCTATTACATTGATCAGCATATGTTTGTCTCGGTTTTTTCTATTTCTATTATAATGGAGATATGGGGTAAATAAGTATCAATCCGTACAGTAGTTTGGAGGTAGGACAGGGAAATATCTACCCTCGGATGCTCGGTCAAGCCTCGTGTTAGAGAGCAATGAATCTCCTCGATTAGAAATCTCAACCTACTCTCAAGTTGTGGAAAGATTCTTTTAACCTCAACCTGAAACTCTTTATACCGCATAGTACAACCCCTGGGATTTTGTTGGGAGCTAACGTATGTGTTCTTTTGATATGTTATTAGGAATTTAAAGACTTTGTCTTGAAAAAGAATTCTAACTATAAAAAA